TCTTTAAATATTTTTTCCTTATTTGCTTAGTCCATTGACACTTCCTTGTTAATTTAGTCCGTTAATGATCCCTAGTCTCTCTAGTCTCTTTATGTCTCTTTCGCTCTTTTCGCTCTCTTTAAATGTCCCTTTAAATGTTTTTCCTAGCCCGTTCCTTGTTCCGTTCCGTTTCAGCCCGTAAATCAGCGCACTCGCCCCTCCTTTCTTTCTCCGTCGCTTTGGTTATGACGTAGCTCTTCAGCTTCTTCGCTCCTTCACTCCTCTGCTCCCTCTCAGACTGCCCGTCTGCCTAGTCGCCGATGCCTGACGCTGCTCCGCTCCTCTCCACCTCCGCGCCACGTCCAGCTGCAACCAATTCTGCACTCCGTGTCGCACTCCGTGTCGCCTTAAAGCCCCACTCCGTTCTGCACTCCGTGTCGCCTTAAAGCCCCACCGTCCACCTGCAAAAGAAAAGCGGTAACAGGAAAAAACTTTTTGTGGTTTCCAACTTACACCTCACTTTTCTCTTCCTTGTTTCAGCCTTATTTTTAGCCTCCTCTGCTCGGGTATCCCTCCTCTGCCTGTTATTGTACTAGCCGCTTTTTAGGTCAATTGTGCCCTTTATCTTTTCTCGGCTTGTAGTTTATTAGCTTTTTTATTCTATTCCAGCATATTCCACGTAGATATACTAGCCCAGTATTTCCCCCACAGGACTGTTGCTGTTAGATATTATAAGGTACTTAGCTTCGGTTAAACGTTTGCTTCCATCTAGTGACTCTGCGCCTCCTCCTCGGCTCACTTGCCCTCGGCGTCTCCGCCGTCGCTCCGTCTTGGTATATAACTCCTTTGCTTCAGGACAGCTGGGGTTCGTCGAGGGTCGCCACCCCCGCTGGCCTCCCCCCAGAAGCTTCCCTTGCCTCACTCTTCGTCTCTAGAAGAGTTTGAAACGTTTGTAATTGTTTAAAGGAGTTAAAGTCCTGGGAGAGCGGTGTATGCTCGACCTCCCTCGTTGAGACCGGATCCGGAAGTTGTGGAGTCTTGTGAACAGAAGTTCTACTTGGTGAGCTCCTGGCATTAAAGTTGTGAGCGAGCCATTTGGCTACTGCATAAATCAGTTTGCTCTGGAGCCCTCCTCCCTGAGCGAAGGCAGAAACGTGTGAGCCGGAGGCTAAAAAACTGAGCTAGCTCACACTAACTCGGCTTAGAGGGAACTGGTCACAGACCCTGGTGGGTTGGAAGGCTGCTGGGGGGGGGGGCGAGGAGAGAATCGCCCCTCTGACAGAAGAGGAAGTGGGGAGTGGTTTTGTCTCCTTCCCCCTCCCTAGTGTCACCTACCAGTTGTTACTCCACGTGGGACGTAAAACCCCGGGGGGGGGGTGTCATAAGGAAAGCAGGAAAGGCTGGTGATCCTCGCTCTGGATCCACCCCGCGGTATAAAATACCAGAACCTGCACACAACTGGAAAGCCATAAATGCAGGTTTAAACAAACCCTTAGATCCCCACTTGTGCCGTGGAAGGCCACGGGGTGACCTTGGGCCAGTCCATCTCAGCCCAGGCTCCCTCACAGGGGTGGTGGTGGTGGTTGTGAGGATCAAATGGAGAAGAGAACGATGCAAGCTGCTTTGGGTCCCCATTGGAGAAAAAGGCACGTTGTAAATGAATTAAGTAAAGCAATATGCTCTAGACCTACTGGGGAAACGAAAACCAGCAAGTCTGAGTCCTGATGGCATATATACTGGAGAGTCCTTAGGAAATCAAATGTGGCACTGTCATCCTGTTTGACCACTGTATGCAACTTGTCACCAAAATCAGGCCTATTGTACCACAGAACTGGAGAGTAGCAGACGTTCCACCACTTTTTAAAAGGGGATGCATAGGGGAACCAGGAAATTACAGGCCACTTAGCCTAATGTCTTTCGTGGACAATTAGTAGACACTCTAATCATTATTATTATGAGGCAGATAGAGGAACAAAACCTGCCGAGGGAACATCAGCATGGCTTTTGCAAAGGAGAGTCTTGCTACACCGACCTTTTGGAGTTTTTCGAAAAAGTGGATGAGTGTGTAGGTCATGGTGACCCAGGAGACATTATATACTTGGGATGTCAAAAGGCTTTGGATAAGAGACATCACCAAAGGGTCGTAAGCTTAGCTGTCACGGGGTAAGAGGATGGGCTTATAGATTAAAAATTGGCTAAACGAGAGAAAGCAGAGTGCCCCCAGGATAAATGGTCAGTTCTCTCAACAGAGGGAAGCAAACGGTGGAGTCCCACAAGGATCAGTATTTTTTTTGGGGGGGTGCTATTTAAGTTGTTCATAAATGATCAGGAACGGAGGGTGAGTGGTGCAGAGACCAAGTCTGAGGAACGGAGGGTGAGCTGCGCAGAGACCAAGTCTGAGGAACGGAGGGTGAGCAGCACAGAGACCAAGTCTGAGGAACAGAGGGCGAGTGGTGCAGAGACCAAGTCTGAGGAACGGAGGGTGAGCGGTGCAGAGACCAAGTCTGAGGAATGGAGGGCGAGCAGTGCAGAGACCAAGTCTGAGGAACAGAGGGTGAGCAGCGCAGAGACCAAGTCTGAGGAACGGAGGGCGAGCAGCACAGAGACCACGTCTAAGGAACGGAGGGCGAGTGGTGCAGAGACCAAGTCTGAGGAACGGAGGGTGAGCGATGCAGAGGCCAAGTCTGAGGAACGGAGGGCGAGTGGTGCAGAGGCCAAGTCTGAGGAACGGAGGGTGAGCGGTGCAGAGACCAAGTCTGAGGAACGGAGGGCGAGTGGGTGCAGAGGCCAAGTCTGAGGAACGGAGGGTGAGCGGTGCAGAGACCAAGTCTGAGGAACGGAGGGTGAGCGGTGCAGAGGCCAAGTCTGAGGAACGGAGGGCGAGTGGGTGCAAAGCCCAAGTCTGAGGAACGGAGGGTGAGCGGTGCAGAGGCCAAGTCTGAGGAACGGAGGGGGAGCGGGGCAGAGGCCAAGTCTGAGGAACGGAGGGGGAGGGGTGCAGAGACCAAGTCTGAGGAACGGAGGGCGAGTGGGTGCAGAGGCCAAGTCTGAGGAACGGAGGGCGAGTGGTGCAGAGGCCAAGTCTGAGGAACGGAGGGGGAGCGGTGCAGAGGCCAAGTCTGAGGAACGGAGGGTGAGCGGTGCAGAGGCTGCACCATCCAGTTACTCAGGATGTTAGAAACAGGCTGAGTGGGCAACAATGCTGCAAATGAATTTATTTATTCATTTATTTATTCCTTCGATTTATAGACCGCTCACCCCCTAAGGGCTCTGAGCGGTTTTGCATATACAATTTATTACAATCTCTTCCTAGGGCCACACATATACAATTGAGGGGGAAATGACTAACCTAACAGGCACCCATAGCGGAGTCTTCGTTGTTATAGTCTCTTTTTGCGGGAGGTCTTTTCAATCCGGCGACGTCGTCTCTTTCTGGCACAGGTCTTCCTCTGGTTGTCGCGGCTTCTCCTGGGTATGGGCCATAGTGCATGTCAGCGCATGCTCCCGCAGCCGGCGTCTGTTCGATTGGCTCCGGCCTACCGCGTCATTCTGCCTCCGCACTCTGCCGACCCAGTCTCCGCTCGGTTGATCGCCTCGCCACTGCCGCCATGTTCTCTGCTGCCGCTGCCGTTACTCCGCTGCTCATGCTGCCGCCACGCCACGCCATCGCAAAGGGAAGGACGGGTGCCCCCCGCTCTAAGAGCAGGTACCCATTTGTCTACTTGCCCATACGGGCTTTCGAGCCGCTGGGTGGGCGGGAACTGACACCTGGACCGGGAGCTCACCCCGGCCACAGTGGGGCTCGAACAGCTGACGCTGTTTGGCCAGATGGAATGCAGGCTTCATTTACTGCCTGCGCCACCGCTCCCTGTAGATAAGCATACAGTGATGCCCATCGGAACAAAAAAAGCCTGACTTTAAATAATCACTACCGGGCTGAACTGGCTTGGACTGAGAGGGGGGAAAAGACCTTAGGTTCTAGTGGACGGCTCAACAGAGATGCCATGATGATTTTGCAGAAACAGAGTCTCACAAGCCCTCCCTTGTTCCTTCCAATTAGATCCCTGGGAGGTCAGGGGAAACCCTGGGGGAGGGGTGTGTGTCGCAAACTGGGTAAGCACCAGCTGCCACCCACCGTGACTCTTAGAGGAGTGTCTCCTGCCAGACTGGGCCACACCGTATTTGCAACCCCACTTGCAGCCAGCTATCACAACCTCGCCCTTTACGGCTGTCTGTCGTGCCTCCCTGCTGACCCTCCCCAGCACCACAGGCCAGATACCGAGACCAGACAGACATGGCGTTTTCCCAGAGATCAGACAGAAGAGCATCTAGCAGGTGAGGAAGTTTAATAAAGGAATAAAAGAAGCCACGCGTTCCACTCAAGCAACACAGGCTTAGCAAGTGAACAAGGGTGTGAGAACACACAGGTTTCTGTCCCTACACCAGGGACCCCCTAAATTATGTTGAGTTTTAGGACAGGCAACATTTACTCAAAGTTACAGCACGTTAGGAGTTCATCGTTATGTTGGATCTCTAGGTTTGGACTCCACCCACTCTATTGTGCCATATGCTCTGTGAACCGTAATGGGAGTCCCTTGGTGAAAGGCTGGGCCATTGTGGCTGCTGCATGGCCAGAGAGCTGCCCAAATCCGGGTGGGGGTGGGGAGAGTCTCCCAGATGTCTAAAGGTTTTTATAACCTCCCGCACCCCACCTCCCCACACGGGGGCACACATGAGATGGCCCTTTCGGTCTCAAATGAAGAGCTTCCTTCCCTCTCTTTAGTCTTCCAAGCTTTATGGCTCTCCGTGTGACTCTCTTGCTAGGAATAGGAGAGCAAGCCATTAGCACACCTAAGAGCTTGAATGCTCTGTGCTGCTGGGAACTCAGCAACTCCCTCTCGCTAACCTCCCTCCCTTCTGACAGCTGTCACTCAGCGGTAGGGCTCTTGTCCAAGGACACACAGAAGTAATAGTAACTGAAACATTGGGGTGAATTCTTGGGTGGGTGGCATTTCTCCACAGGTGTCATAAACTTGATTATACCCTGCCTTGTGTTGCTTTGCATTCTAACCATTGCCCAGCTGGTAGTGGACCTCATCTGGAACTGAAAAATATAATCCCATCTTTTTACCCTTATTTTTTAAAATCACCTTAATGTCCTGTCATTTGCACCACAGCAAAGCTGTTGGAGGCTGTGTCCAAATATCCTGCAATATTCTTCCATAAATTACCTGACCCAAAGAAAAAATCAGAATCAAGAAGCAAATGTGTAAGGTGTAGGAGGCGAATGCCAGAGATAACCCAAAGGCAAAGTAAATGTGAGGCGCTTTAGAGAGGAGACAACAGTACAGACATGCCCTTAATTATACCAAATCACAAATGGTTCAGCTATTAAGAGCATGGACACATTTCCTAGTTCTAACAGATCTAGTTGCAGCACTTTTCTCTCAGTGGCAGAACGATTTTCCCTAGGGAACAATGTTTAGAAATATTACTTTTAAAACTCTGTGTTCCAGTGCAAGAACAGCAAACTGTTCTTCACTACAGTTTGCTTCAGGTCCAACATGAATGAACCAGAGTTCCCTTAATGTGAGATCTGGAGACTTCCAAGTCCCTCTTCATCAGCAGCAAGAGATCTTGCAGTGCGCTTCCAGGGACGGAAGAGGTTCAGACGATGCCTTCACTGCGCTTACTGCGCCACACCACCACTGCTGTCATGAGAAGCGTGACAAAGATTGGGACCACAATGAAGGGGCACAGAACGGTGTTGGGGGGGTCGTGCAAAGACCTCCCTGAGACAGGGCAGCTTTTGAAGTAGTGCTGGTGAATTCCTATGAAGAACTCATCCACTAGCTTGTTTGGCCAGTAGCAATCCAGTTTTGTAGCTATCAGGAAGGTACAGTTGATAAGTTCCCCGTACCAACTGAAAAAAGAGAAAAAGGATGTGCGTTAGAACACCAACTGACACATCACACATTACAAAGTTCTGGAACTGCCACCAAGAGGACATTCAGTAAACCTGCACTCAATTACAGCTCCCTGATGAACTGGCATGGCCCTTTCCACGTGCACACTTAACAGCTGAAATATAATGAGGGGGCCACTTGGCAAAACAAACAAAACCCCCCAGAGTGTTCTTTAAAGTTCTGAGCACCCAAAACACAACCTATGCCACAGAACAGTTTGTCTTCAGCTTCCCTAACAATTTACACTGATTAGACATGTATTCTACTCATTTACCTTTATTTATTTGATTTCTAGCCCACCCTCCCCTGCACAGCAAGGCTCAGGGCGAGTTACAACAAGTAGATACAAATATAAACAGCAAATATTAATCTAAGTATAAAACACTCTCTAAAACAGTATACATGACCTGCCTTTCTCACGAAGATGCACAGCAGATTAAACAGTATAAAATAAATCCATCAAACAGCACGACAATCAGTGCAATAGGACCAGGATCACAGAAGTTAGGGGAAGTATCAGGAGTGATACGCCAAATGGAATTGCAGAACGAGGACACAACACACAGCGCAGACGGAGAGTGCGAACCACGCACAGCGAGCAGCAGAGGCTACACAGCCCCTCCGGGTGCCTTTGTCAACGCTCCTCCCTCAGCCTAACCCTACAAGCCCTGCTTCCTTCGCAGAAGTGCCCTCCTGAACAATTCCGCTTTACACAGTTTGAGGAATCACAAAAGTAGAGGGCGGGGGGGGGGTCTTCCTGGCCTCTTCAGCCGGGCTATTCCACAAAGGGGAGGGCACAACAGAGAATGCGTGTGTCTAATATTTCTGTTGGCCTTACCTATTTGCAGAGTGGCACCTTCAGAAGGTGAAATAGGAAATGTTTTTACCTGTTGTATCAGTGGTGGAAAGAGTCATTAAGTCACATCTGACTTATCGTGACCCCTCATGGGGTTTTTCAAGGCAAAAGGGGCGTTCAGAGGTGGTTTGTCACTGCCAGCCTCTGTGTAGCAACCCTGGGCTTCCTGGGTGGTCTCCCATTCAGATACTAACAAGGGGTGACCTAAGTCAACTGGGCTTTGAGAAGGAGCAGGAGAGCGAGCTGCAGCTGGAGTGGTGTTATTTGCCTTTCCTTAACTGCTGAGAACTAGCTGAGGTTACTGTGTGGGAGGACAGGGTCGGAGGGTGTGTATAGCCTGTGGGAGAGTGGTGCCTGTTTGATAAAGTACTGTTTCTTTTTTCCCCAAAAAACAATTTATTAGGATATATTATTAAGTCAAATACAAATTACATTAATAATTGTTATACATCCTTTTTTTCTATCCCTCTCCCCCCCCCTGGCTTCCCACAGTGCTCCAAACCTCCAGCCCATTACTTAAATTTTCTTCTATTTTCCCATCTTTTAGTCATCATCTACCGGTAACATATCTTTCACTTATTGTTTTCTTATAGTTATCTATTCTCTAACAACACCCACTTTTCAATAGTTGTCAAAGCAAATTAAATTGTCCTTTACATCCCAATACTTCTCTAAATAGTCTTTAAAATCTTTCCAGTCTGCATAGAATTCTTCTGCTTCCAAATTTCCTTGTCATTTTGTCCATTTCAACCATAAACAATAGTTTTTTTTATCCAGTCCCCAATTTCTGGGATCTGTCTTGTTTCCAACACTGTGCATTTGTCATTCTGGCCGTTGTAATCATATACCACATCAGCATCCTTTTCCCCACATTAACTTCTTCCATTTTAAGTCCCAACAGTAGTATTTCTGGTTCTTTCTTAAAAGTACATTTTACAATTTTTTCCATTTCTCTATGTATCTCAGCCCAGTAAGTTTTTGCTTTATCACAAGTCCAGAGTAAGTGCTGTTTCTGTTTGTCTCTTTTGCCTGAGTTGTAACTGATTGTAGCTTTTAGCTGTTTTGCCAGGGCTGACTGCTGGCTCCGCCCTCTGCTGGATGAGTCTTGAATTGTATAAACTCCTCCTTGCCCGAGGCGCAAGCCTTTGATGCAAGCTGAAGGACTCTAGCCCTGTGGCTCTTGGCTTGGGGACCCTGAAGGAAGCTGAGTAGCTCTTACATCCTATATGTGTTAAGTTTTTTTGCTTCTGCAAACCTTTTTTTAAAATTTGTTTTTAATTTTTAATTAACATTTTATTGTTTTAAACTGATAAGCATTACACATTAAAAAGCCAATAAAATACAATTCAGCAGTGAAAGCAAGTAATAAGGAACAATTTCTGCAAACTTTTCACCAGTAGTTGTGTGAGGCAGTGTGGCAGGGGAGTTATCAGGGAAGTGCAAGATAAATGGAACTAATTCTGCAATGAATTGCAGCAGCATGGCTGGTGAGGGAGCTGAGGCAGTGACGTGCAAAGTCTGTGGCATGCTCGTATTCTTACCTGAGGGTAACAGCAATTACACTTGCAGTAAGTGTAAAATGGTAGCCCTACTGGAGGAGAAGATACGGGAACTTGAGGCACACTTGTACACCCTCCAGTTTATAAGGGAAGGTAAAGATTTCATGGACAGAATGCATGAAGCACTCCTGAGAGGGCAGGAGGAGGAGGAGGGAAAAGGTATCCTCAGCAAATGGAGGAGGTTTTTGAGCGTCACCCACAGGAGCAGGAAAATCAGGAGACATTCTGAGCCTCTGTTGCTAAGCAGTCGGTTCCTGGATCTCCCCATAAATATTGATTCTGGACCACTAAAACAAGGGCTACTCTCCTAGCATCTCCAAAGCATGAAGGAAATTTCTCAGGCCCCCATGGATGACAGGACTCGAGCTTCTGCTCCCCAATATAGGAGAAGGTGTGTGTTGGTAACTGGAGATCTCCTACTGAGAGGGGTAGAAGCTAAAGTGTGCTGACTGGACTTGTCATCTCGAGTGGTATGCTGTCTATTGGGTGCATGCACCCAGGATGTGACAGAAACGGTAGGAAGACTCAAGCCCACAGATTATTTCTTGCTCATCCATGGGGGAACAAATGATACTGCCCAACACAGCCCAGAACATATTAAAAGAGACTATGTGGCTGTGGGTGAAAACCTGAAGGACCTGGGAGCACAGGTAGAGTTTATGTCAGTTCTTCTTGTCGAAGACTGTGGCTTAGGAAGGGAAAGAGGAATACTGCAAATCAATGACTGGCTACGTAGATGGTGTCATCAGGAAAGATTTGGATTTTTGGACCATGGTTTATGCTTTCGATATGAAGCTCTTCTATTGAGAGATGGTTTGGACCTTATGAGGGTGGGGAAAATGTGTTTGGTAAGAGCCTTGCAAACCTAATAAGGAGGGCTTTAAACTAAATCCTATGGGGGAACGAGACAAACATGCAAAGCCCAGTATGATGCCAATAACTGGAGATAAGAACACTAAAGTTTTGCGGGGAGTGGCACACATGCTCAGTAACATTACCTTTGCAGGTAAGTACAGAAATGAAAACCTCAGGGCACATAAACCATGGAGTCCAATGTTTCCAAACTAATGCCCAGAGTAAGGGAAACAAGCAGGAGGAACTTGATTCCTAATACAGGAAGGGGACTATGAGCTAATAGGCATTACTGAAACTTGGTGGGATGACACTCACAACTGGAGTATTAAGATTGAAGGCTACAGCTTGTTTAAAAGGGGAATCTGGTGGTGGTGGTGGGAAATTTTAAACTGAAAGAAACAGTCTGAAAAAATGTCCAAGGTTCTTTTTTCCCTTGCCTGCGATCCGCAGTGGAAAGCGACTTGTGCCTGGGACACAGCTGCTCTTTGTGAGGCCACGGGGAGAGAGAGCTATTCTTAGCACGGCAGCCCAGGGAGGCCTCCAGAACCGCTTACTCTTCCTAGATTACACATTTTTATTCAGGGAGGCTTTTAAAAACAGTACAGCTGAAGGACTGAACAGAGCTTGATTTTAAAAGGAGGTATTCCTGCTCCTGATTCTAAACTGTGATTTATGCACTTTAAGCCTTTCTGTTTTCCTCTCAAAGAGGCAGCTCAGTGGCAATGAACATCCAGTTCTACATCACAAAAAACCCTCAATAATACAAAAACAAATATTAACCGACTGTGTTGACTCTACTGACCCCCTGTTCCTTACACCAGGAACCAAGGGCAGAAGGCGAGGCAGACGGGCGTTGTTTTCTGGCGGCTGGGCGTGTTGACAGGGACCCTGGCTGAGTTGGCGGAGGTGCTCCTGGGTGCGGCGTCCCCTCCAGGTCCGCTCAGAGACTTTAACTGGTACCAAGATAGCTTGGCTATTATTGGCAGCCAGGCGGAACGTGCCTATTGCTGCCATTCTGCAGTCACTCCACTGGCTGCCCATCCGCTCCTGAGCTCCACTCCAGGTGCTCAGCATCACATACAAAGCTTGGCCCATCATCCCTGCAGGGCCGCCTCTCCCTCCTTATCCTCGGCCTTGAAAGCTCCACTCACCTGAGCAGGGCCTTCGGCAGGTTATCACCCTGCAAATGGGCAAAATCAACAACTGCCTGTACACACACACACACCCCTCCTCCTCTGCTTGCGGCCCCTCTGCCTCGTGGAATGGCCTGCCTCTGAAGCGGGCAGGAAGGCTCATGCCCGCCTGGCTTTCCACAAGCGATGAAAACCTGAATGATTCAGGAGGACGTTTTTACACAGGCAACAGGGCTGCAATGTAACAAAATGATTCAGAAAGATGCTTCGGTTAAAGAGTCAGGGACTGTCGCCTCTAGCATGGTAGACGGCACATACTGCCTGGTGCTGTTACTAGGATCCTACTACGTAATTTCTGAATCATTTAATGAAATAAATGCTGATGCTTTTCTTCGGGTGTCTGCTTGGTTCCAGACTTCTCCGATCCGAATCCCAAGGCAGGATTTACTGGATGCCCCAAGTCGACTGTATCGACTTACCTTGAGCCTTGGGGGAGAAAGGTGGTCTATGAGCAACATGGCAAAAGTAACAAACAGAACACTCTAACTTCAAAGGCATACTGATGGGAGTCTGAACCGGCCAAGACGGCAAAAGGCGGAGAGATTCCGGGCCTGTGGCGGACCGCTCAAGGCAAACGTTGACTCCGCATGGGGCCAACTCCACGATGGGACTTACTAAGAAAGGAATGAAAACAGAGCAGTCAATATATTCTGAAGCCCCCGTACAGATGGATGGTGTGGCCTCATGCGGAACGCTGCACATAATTCTGGTCATTTTATCTCTAAAAACATATTGCAGAACGGGGGAAAGTGCAGAAGAGGCCAAAACAGTTTTCCTACAGGGAAAGACTAAAGAGACCGCATAAAGTCCCTGCAGCGCCATGCACAGAAATCACCGTGAGTCTGCTTATTGTATGGTATCTCAGGCTGGAAGCCGGGCTTATCGAGCAGAACTTGACGGGAGGGAGGGAGGTCAGCCAGGATCAGAGGAGGCAGCACCTGCTGAGTGGGAGCCGTGCGGTTGCTTGAGTCACCCGCCGGCAACCTGAAGGACTGCGGCTCTGAGAGAAAGCTCCCAGGTGACCCAAAGGGGCCAGCCCGCGCCATCATTTGCACACCTGAGTCCCCACCCCCTCCGGCTCCCCGTGGAGAAAAGAGTGCTGGCGATCCGACACTCACCCAAAGGTCTTCTCCCAGTCACACCACAGCGTCTGCCTGAGAGTTCCCATGTCAGATTTAAACCTGCTGAAGCAGAACTCCTGGACGAAGTGGCCATAGGCGGCTTCGTGGCACCCGGTGACCACCATCCTGTCCGGGGCTGAAACGGGGAGAGAAGGACAGAGATAAGCAACAGGGCTGCTTGGCTCACCACTGCATACCTTTTGAAAGGAAGTGTTACACACTCACTTCCTCTCCCCTGACACCTGCAAGTGTCGCCCCCACGCTCACGGAAGGAGGCACAAGCGTGTTTGAGCCATCCGGGAAGGGGGGGGATAATGAATTATTTATTTATTCAATTTATTTATTTATTCAATTTACACCCTGCCCTCCCCGCAAGGGCTCAGGGCGGCTTACATTAGCTGGAACATAGGTACCAATAAAATTCACATAAAATAATTTGAAACAGTTCAAATACAATTATGGTACAGTTACAATAAAATCATAAAATCCTAAAGTGCTGGCGGTAGTTCATACATTACTTGACGTGGCATGTAAAAGAATACCTACAAATAGTCAGTTTGCCCACTCGGTGCTCTCCCTAAATCACACGGTGGCAAAGGCCAAATATTAAGACCAGGGTCAGGATCTGAAGCCGCGCTTGTTGGTGGTAGTCGTGCAGGCGGCTCCTTAGTTAAAAGCCTGGTGGAAGAGCTTCGTCTTGCAGGCCCTGCGGAACTGTAAAAGTTCCTGCAGGGCCGTGATCTTTTCTGGGAGCTCATTCCACCAATAGGGAGCCACCACTGAAAAGGCCCTGGCCTTGGTAGTAGCGAGCCTAGTATCCTTGGAGCCCGGGTGAGTCGATTTTGATACTGGAAAAGGTTGAAAATTAAGACTGCAGCATGAAGGGTGGTAAGTATTACACAGCACAGAACAAACAGCGTGTGGCAAAGACAACAAATACCTTTTGCAGAGCAAAGTGCAAAGTGCCTTTACTACTTTTTTACCTAAAACATTTGTGAAGACCCACCTTTCTCCCAGGTACCTGGTAGCCAAGGCAGGGGACAGATTAAAAATGCATATAAATCACAGAGGACTTAACCCAGAGAACTATCAATGCCCAGCAGAAATCTTGCAAGCACCGTCCAAAAGATAGAATTGTTAGGCACACAGAGGAACAAAGCCTGCTGAGGGAAAATCAACATGGCTTCTGCCTCACCAGCCTTTTTTAGTTCTTTGAGAAAGTGAACTAGCATGTAGACAGCGGTGACCCAGTAGACATTCTATACCTGGACTTTCAAAAGGCTTTTGACCAGGTGCCTCACCAAAGACTCCTGAGTCAACTTAGCAGTCATGGGATAAGAAGATAGCTTATGGATTGAAAACTGACTATATGACAGGAAGCAGAGAGTAGGCATCAATGGACAGTCCTCACAATGGAGGGACGTCAGCAGTGGTGTCCCAGAGGGATCAGTATTGAAGCTGGCACTACTTATTAAGAACACAAGAGAAGCCAATGTTGGATCAGGCCAATGGCCCATCCAGTCCAACACTCTGTGTCACACAGTGGCCAGAAATACCAGGTGCCATCAGGAGGTCCAGCAGTGGGGCCAGGACATTAGAAGCCCTCCCACTGTTGACCCCCCCCCAAGCACCAAGATGACAGAGCATCCCTTGCCCCAGACAGAGACTTCCTACCTCTACCTTCTGGCTAATAGCCACTGGTGGACTTCTGCTCTTGACATAAGAGAAGCCAATGTTGGATCATGCCAGTGGCCCATCCAGTCCAACCCTCTGTGTCACAGAGTGGCCAGAAATACCAGGGGCCATCAGGAGGTCCACCGGTGGGGCCAGGACATTAGAAGCCCTCCCACTGTTGACCCCCCCCCAAGCACCAAGAAGACAGAGCATCACTTGCCCCAGAGCCCCTATCTATACCTTGTGGCTAATAGCCACTGATGGACCTCTGCTCCATATGCTTATCTAATTCCCTTTTGAAGCCGTCCATGCTTGTAGCCGCCACCACTTCCTGTGGCAGTGAATTCCATGTGTGAATCACTCTTTGGGTGAAGAAGGACTTCCTTTTAGCCTTTCTAACCCGACCGCTCAGCAATTTCATGGAGTGCCCACGAGTTCTTGTATTGTGAGAAAGGGAGAAAAGTACCTCTTTCCGGTCTCACCATTGATTTATATAGGGGCATTATTATATTGGCTGATCTGTTTTCAATACCCTTCCTAATAATCCCCAGCATAGCATTGGCCTTCTTTATTGCAGTCACACACTGTCTCGACATTTTCAGTGAGTTATCTACTACAACTCCAAGATCTCTCTCTTGATCTGTCTCTGCCAGTTCAGACCCCATCAATGTGTATTTATATTTAGGATTTTTGGCTCCAATGTGCATCACCTTGCACTTGGCCACATTGAACCCCATTTGCCATGTTGACGCCCACTCGCCCATCCTTGACAGATCCCTTTGGAGTGCCTCACAATCCTCACTGGTTTTCACCACCTTGAACAACTTTGTATCATCCGCAAATTTAGCCACTTCACTGCTTACTCCCATCTCCAAATCATTAATGAACAAGTTAAAAAGCAGTGGACCAAGTACTGATCCCTGTGGTACCCCACTGCTTACCCCCCTCCACTGGGAGAACTGCCCATTTATACTCACTCTCTGTTTTCTATTAATTAGCCAGTTTTTGATCCATAAAAGGACTTGTCCTTTTATCCCATGATTTTTGAGCTTGCTTAGGAGCCTTTGATGAGGAACTTTATCAAAAGCTTTCTGGAAGTCAAGGTAAATAATATCTATTGGATCCCCCTTGTCCACATGTTTGTTCACCCCCTCAAAGAACACTAACAGGTTAGTGAGACAAGATCTTCCCTTACAGAAACCGTGCTGAGTCTGCCTCAATAGGTTTTGTTCATCTATGTGCCTACTAATTCTTTCCTTAATAATGGTTTCCACCAATTTACCCGGTATCGACGTCAGACTGACTGGCCTGTAATTTCCCGGATCTCCTCTGGAACCCTTTCTAAAGATGGAAGTGACATTAGCTACCTTCCAATCCTCAGGAACGAAGGCAGATTTTAAGGAAAGATTACATATCTTTGTCAGGAGATCCAGAAGTTCACATTTGAGTTCTTTCAGAACTCTCGGATGTATGCCATCTGGGCCTGGTGATTTTTCAGTTTTTAAGTTGTCTATCAGTTTTAGGACCTCCTCTCTCGTCACCTCAATCTGACTCAGGTCTTTCAACACCCCTCCCAAACTCAGCGGTTCTGGAGTGGGCGAGCACCTCTCATCTTCCACAGTGAAGACGGAGGCAAAAAATGCATTCAGCTTCTCAGCCATTTCCCCATCATCCTTCAGTACTCCTTTTACCCCTTGGTCATCCAAGGGCCCCACTGCCTCCCTGGCTGGTTTCCTGCTTCTAATTCATAAACGAGCCGGGGTTCGTAGTAGTACAGGGAAGTGGCCAGGTTTGCAGCTGACACAAAATGATTTAGGATGGTGAAGGCCAAGGCTGACTGTGGAGAGCTGATAGAATCACAGAGTTGGAAGAGGCCATACAGAGCTCCAAGAGGATCTCCACAAACTGGAGAACTCTATGCATAACATTGTCAAATTCCATTCAATCCTGAAGGTGGTTTCTGACAGGGGGTCTCAATTTGTGACTACATTCTTGGGTGAATTGCTGAGGTCCCTTGGAGTTGAATGGGCCCTCAGAGACAGACGGACAGACCAAATGGGTTAATCAGACCCTGGAGAAATTCTTGTGTTGCTTCACTAATTTTCAACAGGATGACTGGACAGAGTTACTCCCGTACACAGAATATTGTTACAACAACGTAGTACATTCGTCCACAGGGGTCTCCCCTTTTCAAGCAGTGCATGGCTATGAAGGCTCGCCCCTTCCCTGGTTGCCCACAGACACTCCGGGGGAGGGGGGCGTAGATGACTGGTGGCGCCGGGTTAAGGATGCCTGGCCGCTCCTACAACAGACTTTGAACAAAGCCAAGGCAGCCTATAAAGCCCAGGCTGACCGTAAACGTCTCCCAGCTTAGGAGGTGTACGTTGGGGACAAGGTGTATGTCTCCACTAAGAACTTGACTCTTACAACCTAGCTGTAAATAGGGTTGGAAATTCATAGGTCCTTTTGCTGTATGTCACTGTTGAACTGGACCTTCCTAAGACATTTAAACATGTTCATCCTGTGTTTCACTTTTCTCTCCTCAGGAAAGATTTGGGGTTGAACCTCAGGCGCCCAGCCCGGGCCCAACCCCACCCCCCCCAGACTGGTGGATGGTCAACTGCATTTTGAAGTTGCCCAGATCTTGGATTCTCGCTTTAAGCATAACTGCTTGTATTATCTGGCTGAATGGGTTGATTTTGCTCCTGACCACAGGGAATGGGTTAAAGCTTCTGACATGCAGGCCCCTTGCTTGGTCCACCTCTTCCACTCTTGCTTCCCCGACAAGCCGGGGTCCGCCATGGGTTTGTTTTTCTTTTCTTCCCTGTCTCTGGAATGTGCGGTGCTCTACAGCTGTGTTTCACTTCTGCTCCTTATCTGCCCCGTTTCGGCGGGAAGCCTCTGTTCCCCCAGCTCACCCCTGAACCGTTACTTATTGGCTTTTAGGTGTCAGGGGGTATTGTATGAACCCACTAGAATTCATGAATAAATTTATTTATTTATTTATTAGATTTATATCCCGCCCTCCCCCGTGGGGCTCAGGGCGGCTAACAAGCAATAAATATCGCAACAATATAACAAAGTTCTCAATATTAGAAACAAAAAATATGCATTTTAAAACCATTCCAACTATATAGACACTTCACATCCAAAAAGCTCCAAAAAAGGCTCCGAAAAGATGGTGACAGTCCTCACTAAGGGTTCCCTCGGAGGATCCCTTCGGTCTTCGATGTTTTTTACGCAGTCCTTCGGACGGACCAGACATTTAAGGTGTTCAAGGATCCAGTGCTTCTGATGTTTCCGTCCCAGGGCCACTTCCGCCCCCCTAGATGATGGCATATGAGGGGGGCGGAGGGCGGCGGCCCCTACTTGAAAGCCTGGTGGAAGAACTCCGTCTTGCAGGCTCTGCGGAACTGCATCAGGTCCCGCAGGGCCCGGATCTCCCCCGGGAGCTTTCAAAGG